ATATATATATATATATATATATTATGAGTGGACAGTCCAGTGTTTTGAGTAGTGCGGTCTTACATGTAGGTTTGCAGCGCGAAAGGGCCTTTTGCGGGCAGTCGCCTAGTGCAGTTTGTAATTGCCATAAAAAGGGATAGTGTGTATAGAAGTCGTTGGCAATTTTATGTAATGTAGAGTAAGCGTGCATAACATAGCATGACCGATATCATAGCATGACCGATATAAACTTTGAAAAGCTAACGCCTAAGCCGGCTAATTGAGCCTTACTTTCTTGTAAGAAACTGTTGGTTTGTCACTAGTTGGTGAACTCCGTAACCGGACCCGGTCAAGCCCTGTCTCTGGCTCTTTGGAAGAGTGTGGAGGTTCCGGGACAGGTGAGTTGTTGTTTTTACTCTCAATCTGAGATCTTTAAGAGTAAGATTAACATAACAATCATCATCACCACCATCATTATTATCATTATCATTAAGACTAACAGATAAGACATAGAATGGTTTTAGGTGCTGCAAACATTTGCATTAAGTAGAAACACACTATAGCTATGCTTAGAGTGTTACCCTAATCTTTAAAGTGACAATATTGATATTCTAGTACCCCGTTCATAATACAGTTTGAACATTGATAAACAGGTACCACAATAGGGTCAAACATCAGATTTCACTGTTATCCACAGACCAAGCTTCTGTGGGAGGATCCCAGCAAAGTGGGCTGGAGCTACAACACCGCCTACCGCTGGGAGCTGAAGCACCGGGTGGACATCGGAATCATCAGGTAAGGACCGGGTTACTTACGTCTTACGTAAGCTCGTCGTACGATCAGAAACTGAGGGCATTCTTGGGATATTCGTGCATGTGTCCTGCAAAAGTATGCTGTCTTATTACAGAAAGACAACGTCTTACATCATTTTATGATTTCTATTCACAGCCTGCTTGAAAAGGAATTTCTATCTAATTTTTTTTGTTGTATTAATTTTGACGTGAAAATAATGTTTTTCTCAATTCCGCCAAAATTTTAAAAAAGTCAAAGAAACCAAACTCAGTTCGTTCTGCAATGGAAGGAATATCCTTCCATCCAATAAACAGGTATTCTGCTTCCCAATCATTCCCTGAAAGAGACGGTCTGTAGATGTGCAGCTTTGATTAGAAACCCGAAATAAAGTGGGGTGTGTCCCCTTATGTATGTTTAGAAGACAACCTAACTTGCTGTTTTGAAATGATTTGAAATATGTACCAATCTTCCAATGTCCAAGTTTTCTCTTCAATTCTTAATCTTATCCCTTAAGTCTAAGTATTTCATCTACATCAATGTTTTTAAGTGAGATTCTCGTACGCCTGTCCGTATAGGTTCCGGCTGTACTCCGGCAGTCTCCTTGTGGTGGACTCCGGTGACGTTCTGGACGCCTCTCTCCGCGGAGGCCGCCTGGGGGTGTACTGTTACTCCCAGGAGAACGTCATCTGGTCTGACCTCGTCGTCAAATGCGATGGTGAGAAATTGCTGAAGACTCAACAACACATTTTCTGACAATAAAAGATGTGTTTAAAATATCAGCTAGGATAATAGAGTACATACAATCTCATAATAAGTACAATTATAACAGAAATTGTATCTTCTTTCCTCTCAAATTTCCCTGCACAGTGCTTCTCTCGGCATATACGGTATGCCTTGCTTCGGCTCTGCTAATTTGAGGCTTAATTTCCGCACTTAGGGACGTGATCGAGAGAAAGCATGGCGCAGGAAAATGTCTCATGATCTTTTAATACTTTACTAATGCCTAGGAAGCAAGAGGCTTTCAGCATTTCACCATTCCTTAAGTGATTGCAACAATACGTTTATATTTAACTTTGACATACATGTACATAGGCTGATAGAAGACAACAGCTTAGAGTTAACAGTTGGTTCTGATTTCTTGCAGGAAACAGTGCATCAGCCTGATGTCCTAACGGGATAACGGAAAACGCTGTGACTTCCATCAGCTTTCTCCATTTTTATGGAAATATATGTAGCAGTAATTAATTCAGTCAATAAAGGAATATCCATGCAAATGAAACGCAACTACTCACGCTCATATAGTCAAGGAAGTACAGATTAAGGAACATCTTCAAAATATCCAATGGTTTGTGTTGCTTACCTTGTGGAACAGGTAGGGTGTGTCCTCAGACATCATGATACATTATACACGTCAAAGAAGTAATTCCATAGCCCCGCCTCCTTGATATATGAACTACGTTTCTAATTACCATTGATTAGATTCAGTATACCTAACAACTATAGCAATATTCAACAATCAAGCTAAGCCCATCTCGTTACTTCACAAGTTTTATTTGTTTTATGCCACAGTCCTTCATGTAAAAAGGGGCCGGAAGACCCAGGTTTATTTTAAATGACCGCGGGTGACCCCATTTCGAACACCGTTCTATTCGAATTACGTCAGATCGAACATGGTTCGGGTTCTACTGCAGGTGGGGAGATCCGGGCCCAACTTTGGCCGTGTTTATGTGAAGTCCCCCAAACCGCGATTCGGGTAACTCACATTCCTCACATCTGGTCCACGTGCCACACATTCCTTTGAAACCGTGTCCGATCACAATTCGCCTGAGCTACATTTATTGTTGTTTGATGAAAACACGCAAGGTAGCGTGTTATTGAATGTCAGAGGTCAACGACCTGCTTGCTGATGCCCCTCTCCCAGCGTATCTCGGCCGAATGCCAACGTGGTCCCGCCAGAGGCGGTAAAGCTCGCCCTAGAACGGACACATTATTTGACCATTACTGCTCTTTAAGTTGCTGCCTCGTAAAAGTTGGTATTGCATATAAATAAAGAAATATCACCTCGTAATCCATGACCAGGCGAAGTTACATTAAAATCGCATTGCGTTCAGACGCAAATCGCGATGCGGGAAAACCGATTCGAAACCACCTCTAGAAGTGGTTTGGGATCGAGGCGCTTTTAATGTGATTTGGAGCGTTCAGATGGATCCACTTGAAACCGGCTTCGGGGTAAACCACATGTAAAGCGCCTTGGGCGACTTCACATGAACACGGCCTTTGACCACCGTGTTTTCCAATGACGTCATCAAGCCCTCATAATATATCATATCAAAATATACATAAACTAACTCCTAATTACACATAAATATTTCATAGTTATGAATAAATTAACTCATAGTTATGAATATTCTAATATACCTACCTAGGTATAATTATGTCTTCGTCTGGCAGTTATTCTTTAGCCAAAAAACAATTATCTTTAAAAGCTCGTAAAGCAATATTTAGTCTTAAACCCCTCATCCGCACCTCTTTGTCCCCCAAGGCCTTACTCAAACTCTTTGATGCGTGCATCAAATCTATAATGTTATACGCCTGTGAGATCTGGGGTAAAGATTATTCAAATGACAATTGTCCTGTAGAGATAACTCAGAACCGCTTCTGTAAAAATATTCTTGGTGTGCACAGGAATTCTAGTAACCTAGCAAGTAGGGCAGAACTTGGGTTGTTCCCAACAGATGTATAGATGTATCCGTCCGTGTAGTTAAATACTAGTTAAGACTCAAACAACTGGACACTTTCACACACCCCTTACAAGTAGATGCATTACTCTGTCAGCAACACAATATGGGAAATAGTGGTAAGAAAAGTTGGCTACACCATGTCAAAGAAATAATTAACAATGCAGGCTATTCTTTTTTATGGAACACCAACCACTGTACATTAGACAACAAGAGCATATGTACATTGTTGAAGGGAAGACTAACTGATATGTATGTTCAAACGTTCTTTCACCAATTGTCTGTAGATAACGGCAAGCTAAGATTTTACAAGACCGTCAAATCCGAATACTCCATGGAAAAATATCTATACCACAATGAATTCGACGAACGAGCTGCCATGTGTAAGATTAGAATAAGTGCGCATCCACTAGAGACAGAAAAAGGCCGCTATAAAAAACTACCTGTGCACGAGAGATTATGTAAATATTGTACAATGAATGCAGTGGAAAATGAAACACATTTTGTTAGCCAGTGTCCTCACTATGAGAACGAAAGAAACAGATTATTTCAGACAGTTACAACAATCTCTCCATCATTTCGTCATTTAGAAGATCACCAAAAGACTACATTTCTACTAAGATCACAAAACCCACTAATTATGCAGAATGTGGGACTATTCATTATCCACTGCCTTCAAAGAAGAAGTCGAACCCCTTAATAGCTAGAGTAGTAGTAGAAGTAGAGGTTTTTCCAGACAGATTGTTACCTGTCTCCTGTTTCTGTATACTTGACTGTACAAGCAATTAGCCTTCGGGCATGATTTTGCAAATAAACATCGGTTTATATTCGAAAAAAATATATATATAATCGATTGCATGTCGTTAACTAATTAGCTACATTTCTGCATGCATCTGCATATCCTTAACATAAATCTGCATACGCTTAGCATAATGACGGTGACCTCTGATCCGCATCGCCTGAATAATATCATAATGGTGTTTAAGTTTTGCATTTCTACCTTCTGCTTGGGTCGGTGAGGCCATGGGACTGCTTTATGTGGTCATTTGTAAAATAGTCTGTGACAATGCAGTTCGTGTAGAACTAACATTTGGTATTTGTATTCAATTGTTTAAACTGTTTTTTTCGAGTTCATTTAGTGATGATTTTTTTAGTAGCAAAGTACTTTGATTATTGAACAAAATTGTTTTGTTGTATTTGTGGTATTTCTTTGAAGTTTTAGTGTGCTTGATCAGTTTGTGACAAAATCAGATATCAAAAGCTAAAAGACAAGAAGCAAAAGGTTTGGCTGTTCATTGTTTACCAATTGTTTGTACAAGACCCACAGGATGTGTGTGTGGGGGGGGGGCTGTTGCACGAAGGGATGTTGTGATGTGATTGATTTGTTGAATGGACCATCAAGACAGAAAATCGACAATTATAGTCAAATAATTAGACAAGGATGGATGGGATAAATACTGTTATTGGTTTGATAAGTAGGTGATGTCCAAAACAAGGTAGAGGAAGCTGTGGAATGATAGCGTATATAACGTTTGACACAGTCAGGTATTTTGAATATGTTTTTTTGTACTTTATTAGTATATGTTTTCTGATATTGGGTTAATGAGAATACTATTTATACGCAATAATTAGCCTTTCTGGTGAAGTGTGTCAATTTGACAAGATGATGATGAAGATGACGAGTCAATTTGAATTGCCTGTTGGCAAAGCTGATAAAAGTCACAGCCTCGATCGAGCTTCAGTAGTCCTGTTAGGATGTTTGTCTCCAATTAGGCGGCTGTACTGATGCCTGAAAAAAAAAACACCAACAAAATATAATCCGTGGGGTAGTGTGGCGTAACGGTAGTCTTCGAGCCGGAACAGAGAGGTCCCTTTTTCGAATCCTGCTATGCCATCGATCTTTTGCCCTTGGAAACTACACTTTCCACGACTTTCCTTACTTCGCACTGTTAAAACAGAGTACTGTATTGCCCTCTGTGTTGGTACATGGTGGCAGCATAAAAATAAGTTCAAAAAATAAACTTCAGTGTACGTTTACCATGTCTCGTGATTAGTTATATGTTAGAATAAAAGGAAATATAATCCCCCCCCCCCAGCCATGTAAAAAAGGATCTAGGCATCCATTTCTAATAAAATATTAAATGTTTCTTATACCATCGCACTTGGTGACGAGGTCAGACCAGATGACGTTCTCCTGGGAGTAACAGTACACCCCCAGGCGGCCTCCGCGGAGAGAGGCGTCCAGAACGTCACCGGAGTCCACCACAAGGAGACTGCCGGAGTACAGCCGGAACCTACACGGACAGAGGATAGACAAATCAGACCTTGAAACAAGAATGCGCGAGCTTTTTAGCTAACTTCGAAACGTAATTGTTAGGACTAGCGGTCCTGTACTTGGATATAAGCAATAGATAGCATAGAAGTCGAAAGATACAGATACAGAAATCCAGAAGGCTTACATATAGTAAGATATTTTGAAGAAAAGGCTGTTCATGCTGATGATGATAATGGTATCACAAATGCCATATTGCATTGCTTTAACATTATTCAGACAGGGCGGTTTGGGTCCTGGTAGGACCTGTAACTCAGCAGCCACTTGTTTGTTTGTTTGTTTTTATTTGTTTACCCAGGGTGCACATATCGCCACTAAGGCGTTTTTCAATGTGCCCTGCAGGCATACATAAATGAAATATACAATAAAATAAAATAGTAGGCCACAAATTTTTTAGAGAATGGTAGTAAAATTAGATAACAACAACGTTGATGTCGTTATGCCTGCCTCCTGCCTTCCTTTAGTAAAGTTATGGAGAAAGTTGTAAGCACTCAAATATCAGAATATTTTCACCTGAATGCCCTGATGTCACCTTACCAACATGCTTTCAGAAAACATCATTCAACTGGCACTGCACTCTTGCAACTAGTTGATGATTGGTACTGTAAAATAGATCAGGGGAACATCGTCGGGGTTATCTTTCTGGACTTCTCCGCTGCTTTTGATTTAGTGGATCACAGCCACCTGCTACAAAAACTGGCATGTTACGGTTTCTCAGATACAGCGGTTGATTGGATGGGTAGTTATTTGGCAGGGAGGGAACAATGTGTACATTTCAACGGCACAAACTCTTCCTTCAGGGAGATACATTGCGGTGTTCCCCAAGGCAGTTGCCTTGGGCCGTTGCTTTTTACCATCTTTACTAACGACCTGCCATTTACCGTGACGGAGACTATCCCCGCCATGTACGCAGACGATACTTCTGCATATGCGTGTGCGCCATCAATTGAGACAGTAACGGTCAAACTACAGACGGATATGAATAACATATGTGAATGGGTGCGTTCAAACAAACTTTTCTTGAATCCAAAAAAGACGAAGTGTATGTTGCTTGGTAGTAGGCCCAAAATGTCAAAGAAACTTCAACTCACCTTATCTGCTGATGGGAGCCCAATACAACAAGTAACGACTATGAAGCTACTTGGTAGCACATTAGATGAATGTCTGACATGGGACTTCCATATAGAAAATACTATTAAGAAAATGGCTCGATCCTTGGGGGTTATTAGAAGAAGTGCAGCATATCTGGACCCGGCGTTGCTGAAACTGTTGGCTGAGACACTTACCCTGACACACTTGGACTACTGTACAGCGGTTTGGTCCCCTACCTCACAAAAGAACATCACCGCACTCCAAGTAATGCAGAACAAGGCAGGGAGACTTGCACTGAGAACTCACCGGACATCGGTGAAGCATATGCACAGTGTGCTATCATGGCTGACAGTTGGTGACAGACTCTATGTTAACAACATGTGTACCTTCCACAAGTTGCTTTTCTATAAGCAACCAACAACACTTTACAGTAAACTGCAGCTTGTATCTAACCAGCACGGTTACAGTACGAGATCTGCAGCAAGGAATAATTTTAAGCTGCCAAAGCCAAAAACATCGGCAGCTACTAAATCTTTCCTCTACAGATGCTCAAAACTGTATAACACACTTCCATGTCATATCAGAAAATCAATACCTACCAGTTTTAAAACTCTCATCAAAGACAGACTGAAACAAGCTATACAGAATTGACAGTAAACTAAGATTGAATATTAATTGTATATATACTGTGTATGATGATGTAAATATGATGATGTATATATGTATGTGTTTTGATGTTTTGTAACGTTTATGTGTATACTCTCTCCTGGAAGAGTAGCTGTCACCCTCGGGTGGGCAGCTAAAGGAGAGTTTTAAACCAATAAAACCAATGACGTAAAACGGCGTTATTATAACGTCATTATGAGGTTTATTGAGCTAAAATTCTTAAATATTTTTTCCATAATACCCAGAGGAATACATCCAAATGTTAGCTTAAAGTGTCTTTCATAGAATATTAAGGTTTACTAAGACTTACGTTGTCCCTGGCAACAACATTGACGTCAAGATTACGCCATCTTGGATCGTAAATCTTAAAGTTTTGAATAACATTTCTGTCTGAACATGGCCACAGCAAAATACACCAGAATTTTATACAAGAGAAATCTTATCAGGCACTATTTTTAAACCCTTTGCTTTATTGTGTATCATCTTCAGAGGAATATGATAATTTTACAATGTTAATCAAAATACTTCACACATGGCAGTGAATGGCATCATATTCCTTTACAGTGGCACAATAATTCCAGTTTTAGTGGTATATTCATATTATTATTGAAAATTGGTGGTCGTACGATACGTAGCTGTAGGAGGTGTATCTCATCCACCGGCAATTCTACTCGTGGGGGGGGGGGCTATCGGCGGTGGATGCGACTCCCCCTTTATTATAATTAGCTCATATAGCTCCTAAACTACTGCAGGTTACAATACCTGATGATTCCGATGTCCACCCGGTGTTTCAGCTCCCAGCGGTAGGCGGTGTTGTAGCTCCAGCCCACTTTGCTGGGATCCTCCCACAGAAGCTTGGTCTGTGAAAAAAAAAATTAAAAATATTGCCAAGTGTTTAATTGCATTATATTTTTTATCAACCTAATATTGTAACATCAACGTTGTTTCTTTCAACATATAGGTAGGTAGAACGGGTTTCAATGACCAATGCATTCCTCTAATAGGCACTCGCGATCGGTATCCGATTTCAGTAACGTTTAACCACGCTTCATATAATCATTTCATTGATTTCAGCGCATACTAGTTTGTACTTACCTAATATGCAAAGCTGAACACGAACCAGTAGTATACGTTACTTCTTAGTTGTGAAAGCATCACGAACCTCTTATCATGAAGTCGTTTGTTTTTTTACATTGAAAGCCATGGCAAATTGAGTAAAAACAACAACTCACCTGTCCCGGAACCTCCACACTCTTCCAAAGAGCAAGAGACAGGGCTTGACCGGGTCCGGTCACGGAGTTCACCAACTAGAGAAAGAGAAACACTTTATTTGAACCTAATGCAACAGCATTTACAATACAGACAGCCTACAGCAGACACAATTTCTTTGGCTCATATCGCAAGTCAATGATGTTAGAATCTTGATTTACTAAAATGTTACAACTACGAAGAGAAAATTATTTTTGCCCAGAGTTGTCCTTCTGGCTATTGCCGTCGTGATAATGTAGAGAACGATACATGGCCATGAAGTAGGATTCTAGATTTTTATTGTATTGTCCATCTGTGTTGGTAGTGATAATGTGATCAATGTTGAAATTTATTCCAACTTCGCCTCCATCAGGATAAAGAATTACCAGTCACTTCCGATCGTACATCCGCGAGAGTTATCGGCACGTGACTTAATTCTCACGCAATTTATATTTACGTCAGCAAATTGTCTAGCGTGCCTGGCATTTTATACCGTTCACCGTCTCTGTTTAGTGTGGATACAGTGCGGTGATGTATATAACCTCCTTCTACCTCTTGCTTGGAATAAAGTTCAACATTGTACTAAGATTTTATTTACCTTCAGCTGTACCCCCGCCTGTCCTCCGCTGCTGTCCCCTGCCTGTTTCCAGGACATCAGGTAGAACCGAGAGTTGCTCTGATAGCTGAAGACGAAACCCACAAAGTCGTCATCAATCTGGGTGTTCACAAAGAAGGTTCCACGGTAGTCCAAGTTACCGAAGTAGTCAGAACCTGCATGTGGCAAAATAGCCTTTGTTGCCATTGTAAAAACATACTAGCCTAATACGTAACTTATATGTGCACATAAGTATTAAGTTATTAATTGAGTCTTACTTGCCTACCATTTCGGTTTAATATTATGTAATACCTACCTAGTACAAGGCCTGGGCCACTGTTCACCTTCTGGATTATGTCACTTCCCTGTAACATATTTCGAATTTGTATTAGTTAAACAATAAATACAATCTGTAATTTTTCTATACACTACGTACGTGCACTTTAAAAATGTTAGTTAATTAGAAATTGGTTGATGATTTTTTTTAGCTGATTTGATTTCAAAATTCTCATTCAATGGTATTCTAACCCGTGGTTGTTTAAAGATGGCCCGTAAAGATACCAGTGTTCTACATGAAGAGACCGAAATCAAACGCTTAATATGCGTTGTTGTTGTTTTTGATTTTGTTGATACCTCATTAAGGAACTCCCAAACCGGAAGGTTGTCAGTGCTGCCTGCCAGGTTGACGGTTTGGTAGTTCCTGAAGTCCGTACGGGCGATGACCCCACTCTCAGGACACACGTCATCAGCGTCAGGCACGCCGTCCATGTCAAAATCACCGGTACAGACATCACCTACTCCGTCTCCTGGCATAGTTTGTATTCCTTTTACTATTTTGAACCAGGCATGGTGAATTCAGTGGCAGTTTTTGTATTACACTACAATGCAATAATTTTCAAACTGAAATTGTTGTAGGTCCTCTCACCGTCAAAGTCTCTATTATCCAGACTGGGAACGAGACGACAGTTGTCTACGTCATCCAGTATTGTGTCGTCATCATCATCATCGTCACAAAGGTCTCCTGTAACCGGTTGAGCCGTTAAATGCAATGATGCATCTTAATAGAAAACATAATTGCTGCAAATATCTAATGGGGAAGCAACTGTACTTGGTAGCATTAATTTATACTTAAGTTCTTGAAAAAAAAACGTTTAAACACGTGAAACCTGTCCTGGGTAGAAAATCTCGTAATATGTTTCTTTAAAAACAGACTTAGGTTCGTATATATAAGGCTGTATATTTTTCAGTGAAATTAGTCTGTTTTGTTGTGATAAATATTAGAAAGAAATGTTAATACCTGCTCCGTCCTTGTCCGTATCCAGTTGTTGACTGTTGGGGATGTCAGGGCAGTTGTCAAAGGAGTTCGGGATCCCGTCTGCATCGCTTTAAATATTAAAGAAACTATATAAATGACGAAGGTCAAATGATAATTTGAACTTTTTTTTCGCTCCGATGAATCATTTTATCTTACACTAAAATGACATTAAAATACCTGTCGGCGTTGTCCGTACAGGCATCGCCGACGGCATTTTCATCGAGGTCAAACTGAAAAGAAAACAAATCATTATTAGACTGATGTTGCCTACTAAAAGACTAATAAAACCTAGAAAGGAATGTGTGGGTCATTGCGCACGACTTACGTGCAACGTGACCCCAGGTAACCCGCAATGGAGCACGTGTTCGATGGCCAACGGCAGATGGAACGGGCCATTCTTAGATCGAACGTGGAACGGGTATAGCATTTTTGGCCCTTTTTGGCTGAAAATAGCCATTAAAGTCCCCCAAATGAGTCATTTGGAGGCAGTGTATGCCAAACATGTGACTGCTATTCTGTAGATACATGTTTAAGGTACCCTTATACCGAATTTCAGATCATTTGGTTGTAATACCAGGGCTCAGGATCAAAAAATCCAGTATTTGTAGAAAAATGCCCCAAAAAACCTTCATAAAAAATTTTCAAACGCATGTATAAAAAAAAGTAAAAACGCCTGGGGGTATTGGCCCCCTCTACATTGTACGTCCATACCAAATTTCAAGTCATTTAGCTTGAAAATGACAAAGTTGAATCTATTTAACGGAATAGCGGAGGAGAAGAAGAAGAAACACGAGAGAACACGAGAGAAAAATTGTTCTACAAGGTGGAATGGCTTCTCTTCAATCTCGCAAGGGATGATGGGATGGACGAGTCCACTCAAAACAGAGGGGGCCTCATGACAATATTACACAGGATGTGCCATCCTCCCTCCATTATATAACGTTATTTCATCCATACCGTGGTATGGACTGAAATATAAACACTACCAGATACATCCAGGCATCCAAAGAACACTGATACGCCACGCTCAACACTTGCTCCATTCCTTTAGTACGGCTTGATGACTTACCTGATTGACATTTGCGACCGTTGGGCAGTTGTCACAGACATCTCCGATCCCATCTCCGTCAGAATCTTCCTGCTGAACGTTAGCTACAAACGGGCAGTTGTCCTCGTGGTCAAGAAGCCCTAACAACACATATAACCTATATTATTAAGAAGGTACTTTAATAGACTAAAGCAAAAAATAACAGTTTAATCATCAATGTATGTAATAATCGAGTTGTTTTCGTTCACATATAATAAGCACGTTTTGTTTTTTCTAATAAGTTAATCAATAAAGTCGATTACTCAAGTTGCTTATGGTATACCTTAGACCTTAGGTCTACTGTTGCATCGGTCTACTAGAAGTGTTATATGCTTATCGTATATGCTATGTTATTATTAATCAACACACTAATGCAGTTAACTTTAGGAAATAATGAATCGCAGACAGCTATGAACATACCATTTGCAAAGCGTATGCATAATGTAGACATAATGTGAACATAATAACGTCACTGATGCAATCAAACGCACCGTCACTATCGGCATCACTGTCGCACACATCCCCCACACCGTCCCCGTCTGTGTCCCGTTGGTCAGTGTTGATGTCCGTGGGACAGTTGTCACACACGTCACCCACTCCATCACCGTCACTGTCCGTATGGTCCATGGTCAATAGCAGCGGGCAATTGTCCTTTCAAGGATTAAGCAAAAGCAAATATTTAGTTTGCTTCTTCGACAAGTGTGTTGCAATGTGTTGTTGAAAAAAAACAGTGTATTAACGTTATAGAATTATTTTTTGAAACCTACAGACGTCAGTTGATGTGTCAATCCCTTCTTTCCATCTTATGTCATTGTTCTCAGAGCCAGTCGGGTTCAGACTTTCCTCCATTTATGATGTTAGTAGGAAGCTTGTAGCCAATTTAGCTACTAACATTCTGACAGGAGATAATTTTGATTTCCTTGGCGGTAATGTCTGTAGTTTAATGTATTTAATTCGTAACCTGTTTTATAGTTACCTCGATATTAAGTAACCCATCGTTGTCCATATCATTGTCACATACGTCTCCCATTTCGTCTCCGTCTCTGTCGTCCTGACCACTGTTAGGGACACCTGGGCAGTTGTCCTAAGGCAACATCAAGTTCACATTATTGACAAACAACCCATGGATCAAATGTTTCTTTCTAATCTGGTGTGGACAATTGATTCTACTAGAACATATAACAACATAGTTCACATCGTTGACAAATGATCAACAAGTCTTTATTCTAACTAGTGACGGTAAATGAGAATTGTTCTATCGGAAAAATTAAAACTAACAAGGCATTCAATTAACGACTGACAAGGATAAAACGTAGAGAGATAAAGGCCGTGTCTACGTGAAGTCACCCAATGCCCAAGGCGCTTTACATGTGGTTAACCCCGAAGTCGGTTTCAAGTGGCTCCATCTGAACGCTCCAAATCAAATTAAAAGCGCCTCGATCCCAAGCCACTTCTAGACGTGGTTTCGAATAGGTTTTCCCGCATCGCGATTTGCGTCTGAACACAATGCGTCTGAACGCAATGTAACTTCGGCTGGTCATGGATTACTTGGTGATATTTCTTTATTTATATGCAATACCAACTTTTACGTGGCAGCAACTTAAAGAGCAGTAATGGTCAAATAATGTGTCCGTTCTATCTAGGACGAGCTTCACCGCCTCTGGCGGGACCACGTCGGCATTCGGCCGAGATACGCTGGGAGGGGGGCATCAGCAAGCAGGTCATTGACCTCTGACATTAATAACACGCCACCTTGCGTGTTATCATCAAACAGAAATAAATGTAGCTCAAGCGAATTGTGATCGGACACGGTTTCAAAGGAGTGTGTGGCACGTGGACCAGATGTGAGGAATGTGAGTTACCCGAATAGCGGTTTGGGGGACTTCACATAAACACGGCCAAAGAGCAAAGTTAAATGCAATTTGCATACCTTGTTACACCTGGTGTCGTTGCAGGGCAGCTGTAAATCTGGATAACCGTCTTGATCTCCATCAACTCCACATGTAAGTCCGTCCTGGGACCCCGCCCAGCCAACATCACACTATGCAGTGAAAATGTTTAATATCTTTAGATAACATAATTTTTCATTATTTTCCTCAATTACGGAAAATAAGCTCCTGTATGAACGCCACATGATTTAATGTAACAATGCGTCAACAGAATAGTCATCTGTTGCGTATTTGCCAAAAAAAATGCTATTTTTTTTCAATTGAACAAATTATTAAAAATGAAAAAAATTACTATCTCTTACTTTATAGAAAGATTTATAGATGAATATAAAAATGAGATACGGGAAGTCTTACCTTGCACATCAGTTGTCCATTGACGTGGGTACAGCTGGAGCACAGATCGTCCTTGCCGAAGCAAACTAAATGATTTTTGTAAACTTGTTTTAGTGTGGCGTTTGACTATGAAAGAAAATGAAATAAAAGCAACTGTTACAATAAAAGCTCCGTTAGAGCGGCATGTTACATGTTACTATAATAACTACCTGACATGCATTGAGCCTCCTCCTTTGCTCCAGGAAACACGGACCAGGTGTTGTGAGGACATTGTTTACAGTCCGTGTGTACCGGCTGGTCCTGGTACTCACCAACAGGGCAGTACTCACAGGTGTCCGTAGTCAGGTCATGGAACGTGCCGGGGGGACAGTCAACTGAGTATACGTTTTTGTACAGGTTTGAAAATGAGACTTTTTTTATCATATATAATAACCTAACAAAATTATTTTCAAAGTTGGTAAATTACATCATGGAAAAGTTTTTTTTTACTTAAAAGGCGAGACTCTCCCGGGAACTGTTGACTGATTTAATCTTTTTCAGTTATCTATACAATCTCTCAGGACACGCGACTTCATGCTCTTGTGGAGATAACTCGAGATGCTTTGGAAAAATCTCAAGATACCTTGAAAACATTTGGAAAGATCTTGAGACCTTTTGTTTTCATCTCAAGATTTTCTGAAAGATCTGGAGATTGTCGTGAAAAATCTCAAGATTGTCTTATAAGATCTCAAGATTTCGTCTAAAATATTGAGATCTTTAGAATTAATCTTGAGATTTTTCAATTTTTAACGAAGCGTGAAGACCCCCACTGGGGGTCATTATAATCCGCTATGTAACAGAGAAGTTTGTGACAAAAGATTGGATATGTACCTCTAAGCTGTAAATAGTCAGAGGCATTAGTCCAAAGTGCTCTGCTCATTCCAATAATAATCTGCTCGGTGTTTATAGCACTTCCTCATAAATTATGCAAATGAGGTCATGATTTGAATAAATTTTGTTTATTAATGTTCGCCTCCACTTTCAAATGTGGCAAGTATGGAATTACCAGCAGTTACAACTATGAAATTATAAAAAATTCTCATTAATTATGCAAATTAGGTAATCATTTAAAAAATCTATATCCTCAGATTTTTTTTTTCTCAATTACATGTCACAAGTGTTTCATTGTCCTATTATCGAAAAAAAGCAGATTTATAGAATTTCCTCATTATTTATGCAAATTAGATCCTGATCTGCACAATTGTCATTTGGTTATGTCAAGCATCACTTTAGCTACCTACATACCAAAAAATCACGACAAGCCGTCAACCGATTCTTGAGTTATACTCCTTCGAAAATTTTTAAAAAATGGTCTTGCAGTTCCAGAACAAGCCGCTAGGGGGCCCAAACTCATGTGAATTCTTCCCTACCCCAAGAGCTCACTCACTCACTCAGTCCCCTCCGAGCCTGGTGGCGCATGGGGCTCCAAGTAGCTTCTCCATCTAGCCACCTTCACCGCTTCGTCCATCGAGAACCCGTGTCTTCTCACCTCCTTTTCTACCGTTCTTCTCCATGTCACCCTAGGACGACCTCTCTCTCTTCTGCCCTGCGGCGTCCACCTCAATGCTACTCTTGTCATATCAGTTGCTGCTTTGCGAAGAACATGGGAACGACCAAACTTCGTGACCCTAGCATGTCTAGATCGCGAGATATCAAAACCGGAAGTTCTGCTGCAGTACCAACAAAAGCCGCCAGGGGGCCCAGAATCTAATCATTTCTAGGTCTCATTAAGACCTACCCACCTACCAAGTTTCATGACAATGCATATTAAGCTTCTTGAGTTATGCTGTTCACAGACAGACAAACAGACAAACGGACAGACGGACAAATGCTACTGAAAACATTAACCTTCGAGGCGAAGGTAATTAACTTTTCAGCAGTCTTTGTGAACATTATGCATATATCTGCATGCATACTTTCCGCCGGTTTGGAATCTCAGATCTCTTGTTTTTTTTCTCTACCCAGCACCGTGCAGCGAAGATTACGACCCTCCCCTGAACGGTGGCAAAGCCTGTTCAGTGACAGATGACGCGACAGGAGCCATGTTCTGTACTGTCTACTGTCCGGACAACAAGGAGTTTGCTATACCACCTGCACAAGTGTACACATGCCGGGCTGATGGAAGTTGGTTCGCTGACTCTCATCCTGTGGTTGGTCAGAATAGTCCCTGGCCAGACTGCACAGGTATGGTTTTACTGGGATGATTGATTAAGGGTTAATTTTTTTATTTTTATTTATTTAATCTTCAGACAGCTGGGTGGCCCATTCAATTTTGTCAAATTGATTTTCAATGGGGCCCAGCACAGATACAGTAAAATCATCAATATAACAGAGGAAATAACTTAACCCTAAACAGTACACCTGGGGTCCGCGCGGACCTCAGCACTATATATTCTGTAATATCTTTT